GTGTGTGTGTGTGTGTGTGTGTGTGTGTATATATATTTTTATTTATTTATTTTTTTGTAATAATATTTCAATTTTAAAATATTTATTTAAAAACATATAATAATTTTTTCTTCTCGCGAATTGCGTATTGTTTCTTCGTAATGCATTCCAATCTCGCATTAATAAATCCCGCGATGTGTGATTACATGATTTAATAGAAATTATAACGCTTTCGGTATAGATCGTGATGTTTATCGGCGATAATCGCGATTGATATTGTTGTTTGTGCTATCGATAGTGCGTACTTCGCGGTCGGGTTATCTCCAGCAACTGGAGCACAAAAGTGTAACGAGAGGACGGATCTCCCCTGGCCTTCATCTCCGATCCGCTTTGATCTCTTTCTCACTCCGGTCCCTCGGCGCGGGGGGGGGGGGAAGACAGGGGCAAGCGGAGAATTTCCGTCCGCGCCCCCTCTTCAAAATATCAACTAAACGATAACCGTATTTATTATTCATTCGGTCGCCTCGCTCCTCCCTTCTCGTGCCGCATCCCCAATTTTATGAAGTAGTTTTTCAAAGAATTCCGCGAACGGTCTGCATCGCCCATGAGACAGCAAGGGTGGATACGTAGGGTGAAAAGTGCTTGAATCGCCGATAGAAGAGCGCGGTATTATCATATCCGATACGATATCCTTAAGAAAAAGAATGATAAGAATAATCGTATTGTATGCAAGATGCGTTATAAAGAACAGTGAGTGATAAATCGGAATGTTCTAACACTGAGAGACATACGGAAAAAAAGATTAGTTTTAAGTCAAGACAGATACTTTCGTGATAAGAGAAAATTATAATCTTCTTAGAAAAATTTTAATCTTTATTTTGATTAAATTTCTATATTAACGCTATTTTAGATATTTTAGATATTCTTATATGTAAGAATATTATAATCTTCATATGGAAGATTTCTAGTCTTAAGTTGAGCAAAAATAATATTTGCATCGATACAAACTCAATCAAATTAAGGCTAAAATTTTTTAAGAAGGTTATAACGTGTTTCTTTATGTATGAGAATATTTGTCTTTACTTAAGACTAATTTTCTTCTGTGCACCCTAAATTGAGGAGGGATAAATAAATGCGAATGAGAAACTTCCTGTTTTTATTTTCCGTTGTAACATGCCGCCTTGTCTGCTTTCATTTTATCTCATTTCAGATATTATTTAGCCAAGAGTGTCGAGACGAATTCATTCAATAAGTAAACGGCAAAGTCAATATCGATGACGTCGCCTGATATCTCCCGACGTAATTTCGCTCTCGTCCTCATCCTTCACGATCTTGTTACTCCTCGCGCGTTACATCCTCCTCGAGATCAGACGCCACTTTTCTTTTCCGTTTCCTACGCCCCGCTCTCCCGCCCATGACCAGGTCCCCGAGGATAAAAGGGATCAGAGGAAAAAGGGGGATATGGATTGACACTCGAATTCCGCCGGTAAAGGATCTCCTCTTCCGGTCGGTCATTTTTCTTACCCTCGTTGCACCCTTCGCGTGCCGCCCTCGCCGGCGAATCCCGCTCGCGGTTTAATAAACTAGATTCATCAAATTCGACACCGATCGTCCATTCGTCGGTCGGTCGGTCGATTTCTCGTTCTGGATTTCGCGCGGTAGGAATACGTAACTTGTCAGCGTGATGCCGCGGCAAATTTTTACAGCGGGATATTTTTTCTCGCGAGAGGCATGCCTAATTCATGCCGGACGGTATGTAATAAAGTCCGAGAAAATATGTAAAAATCTATAATAATTTTTTTTTAATCAATAAAAATTAAAATCGTCAAGATATTAATATTAATTGTATCAAAATCCGCAAAATTTTTTTTATGAGACTATTTAAGCATTTTCTCCTGCTGCAATTAATTAAATTAAGATCCAATTATCATCTCGCACCGCTCGCGTATCTAGACTTACTTTATCGAGATAAAGAAGAAACGAGGGCATTTGTGCGACACACTTCGAGCGGGTAATTCCCTCATCCACGGATGTTCGGTTATATTGACAGAGGAATACCGGCGCTAAATCATCTGTCACCCCCGAGTTCGCCCCCGTGGCATCACCGTGGAAACTCTGAAGTCTCCGGCTGTCTATCTGCCGTCACTCACGAAAGCCTCCGCCGTGTTACGAGGCGCGTCCCCTCGCGTGCCCTTCTTCCCTTAAAACAGTGTTTACGCCTAATCGCATTTTGAGGGTTCAATTTATTAAAAAGATGCCATCCGACTTGACGAGCCATTTTAACATTGGCTCTTGACGTAGCGGAGCGGACGGCGTTCAGGTTAAAACCTATTTTACCGGGAATCCTGAACAAT